CTGGATATCTCTCTCTTAATTATTAGCCCAGAATATTAATCTATGTATTTCCACATGGCCTTATCTTATTGGAGAATGTTCTGGTGTCCTACCTTCCCAGTAGCTACATGGCATCTCTCTTGTGGCTCTTCTTTCTGTGTTCCTCTTCCCAGACTTCTCCTAGTCTGGTATCCCTGCCTACATTTCCTGCCTGGCAACATTCTGCCTGTCCATTGGCTGAAACATCTTGATTCAACAACCAATAAGAGAAACAAATATTCACAGCATACAGAAGGACAACCCCCATCAGGAAGATGAACGGGTAGAAAAAGTCCTGTATCCTGCTGATCACACATGGATGTGGTTCACCACCCTCTTTAGGTACAGGCAATAACTTGCTTTCCTTAGTTTTATGTTCTCAGAAAGGTGTTTATTTCATCACATTGAAAAAAAAGAAAAAGAAAAACACCATTACCAGATTAAATATAAAATCCACTAAATTTTTCCCAAAGCTAAATATTTCTACCTAGTATTAACTATAAATTTGTAAAACAATTATTTCCTGATAATTATATGGACGAAGTTTAAATTTTGATAGCCAAGATTCATCTGAAGTTTTTTGGGAAAGCTTTCATTTATAATAAAAGAATAAATATCTTTTCATGATTGTGAATGAAGGATAAGAACGACTCTGAAAATGTGCATGTGACCACATTTCCACGAGGTACAAGTTCACAGTCAAGGAAGTCATGAAGAGCGTTGACTAAGTCATATTCTAAAGAATCTCTTTATCTCTGTGTATGTGTCCCCCGCTCCCCTCCTCCCAAACTGTGGACATTTCTGTTCCATCTTTGATTCCTACAGGGGTGTGATCCTGAAATCTTCATTGTTTCCTCTGTTCTTTATCTTCTTCAACTTGAACCATGGTGATAAAAATGACCAGGATAAAAAGCTCCCTAGCTTGTTCTCCTTGATTTAGCCTAGAGTTATCAAAGAAGGGAATTTCAGTTGTGGGATTGTTTAGGTCACATGGGCCTCTGGGCATATCTCTGGGAGACCATATTGATGATTGTTGGTTTAAGAACACACAGGCCAATGTGGGTGGCATTGTTGCCTGGATAGGTCGTATGCTGTATCAGAGAGCTACACAAACAGCTCCAGTGTGCAAGCCAACCTGCAGAAGAATCCTCTGTAGCACTTGCTTCTAGCTCCTGCTGGACTTCCTGTGCTCTCTTCTCTAGATGGTAGACTGTAACCTCTAAGGTGAAGGAAATCCTCTCCTTCCCTCCGTGTTGCTTCTGATAACTGTGTTTGTCATAGTCACAGAAACTAAAACAATATGTTCCTTAGATGGATGGGTGAGATTATGTGTGTGAAGCCACAGATGCTCTATAAATATTACTTATAATAGTCACAGTTGCAACTATAATTATCATCACTCTAAAATAAATTGGAATAAACTTTCATTCTCAAAGAGCAGCATTGCTTTATATTTCATGCAGAGTAAATAATATTCTACAAATTTTAACTTAATAGTAACTTTTTGTTTTAACAACAAAATTAATCCAGTGAGTCAGAAAATTCAATTGCTATGTTCAAAGGCTTTCAGAACCTGAAGAAGAGAGGGGAGTAAGGTGTTGAGAGCACTTACTGTTCTTGCAGAAGAGTCACGTGGTACTGGCAATTCAACTACCTTGAACTACATGTAGTTCCTAGGTATCCAATGCCCTGTTCTGACCTCCATGGGCACCATACACATGTTGTTTCCATAATTCATCCAGGTTAATACACATAAACATAAATTAAAATTTAAATCAAAATTATGTTTTAAAATGCAAAAAGATAAGAGAAGCAGGAATCTAAACAAATTCATTAGTCAAATCCCTCCTATCCTCCTTTCCATTCTAGCCTCTTCTTTTAATAGTTCCCTTTATATCTTTGCCAGGTTTTTAAATTATTCTAGGAATTAAAAGAGCTAGCTAAGAAAAATGGCTTTGACACATGCAGTTATGTTGCATGGCCATTTTTGGATCAGTGACTATGTAAAAGAATAAAAGGTGTAAATCCACTTTAGAGTAAGGATTTTTGATTGACAAATCCATAAGACTTGACTATATAAGAAGAAGGGTTGGTCATGATCAGAAGCAATGTGACTAAATATAAGCAAACTATAGAAATAGATTTTTATGACACTACTTCAATTTTTAGAAATAAAAATAAAATCCTTGTTAATCAGAGTTTGGCATGAATCATAACCTGTTATATTGGGACTGTGCCAAGAACCATTGCTGGGTGTCTTTAGACTGGTAATGATGTTTTATGTTGTGAACATTCATAACTTTGGTGTTCCTTGCTATTCACTTGCATTAACTCAATAATCTAAGAAGAATATTTCAATTACGAGCATTATATTTTCATAACCATATGTGGTCTGTAATGGGTTTCAGAAACTTGTTGACAAGTATATATAAGCTTAGACATGTTTTGTTTACTAAGAGTAAACTACTGACCCATTGAAAGTCTCAACTGCTTGGATCAAAATGAAAATCAATGAGAAAAAGTAAACTGACAACACTAATTCCAATCCTTGAATTTAGAAATGTGCTTATTGTTTTAAAATGATAGATAATAAGCTAATTAACATTTATTGATATTGCAAAGTGAATAAGACATCACTCTAAAATGGCCGAGCAATTCCAATTTGGACCTTCTCCAACAGACTTGTAGATCTCTAGAATGGAATAGTTCACTTAGTTAAATGACAAATACATCTCCATTAACTAGATGCAGATCTTGGATATCGGTAGGAACCTATTTGCCAATATTCTGGTATTCTATTTACTAGCTATTTGAGTTTGGATTTTAAAAGATGTAACTTTATGAGCAATGCTTTGTCCTTTGTATAAGAGGTATCTTAATAATATCATTTATTACTCTGAGAATAAAGTATGATTTCAACTAAATACATAGAACTATTTTTTTGATTCCTTTCAATTAGTGTAGCTTTGGTTGTGCAGGCATGATGCATGAGGCCAACATGTGTTATATTATCATACCTTAAGAACAGACAAAATGTTTAAACTTGAACTTCTGTCTGAAATCATTTTGCATTTTGCAAATTGCATATGTGTGTTTGCTTTGGTGTATGTATATACACAATGTCCATGCGGGTTTCTACAGAGGCCAGAAGAGGGTGTCAGGTACCCTGGAACTTTACCTACAGGTGGTTGTGAGCTACCTATCATGGGTGCTAGTATTGAACCCCCAGGATCAGCAAATGCTTTTTACCTGCAGAGCCATCTCTTTAGCTCCTAGTTTGTCTTTTAAATGCTCCATTCTGTTTTGAGTAATAATCTCTTTTGCCTATTTCTTAGCCAGTAAAAACAAGGCAAACAGTTTTACTGCAACTGTGTTTCTAACAAGTGGCCAAGATTTTACATCCCACGTAGTTTTAAATTTAACTACTGCTTTCCTATCACTGGTAATAAAGATGTATTATTTTTATTATGTAAGACTTAGCAGGTTTGGAAAGGCAGCAACTCTTCTTCCTATTTGTAGGAAACTGAAATAAAAAATACATTCCTCTTATTGAATTTCCCTGGAAACAGCTAGGTATAACAGTATTGATTTTCCCCTACATTCTAACTTAATTAAATTATGAAGAGCCCACTTACAAATTACCAGCATGTCAAGGAAGACACTGTGAAATATTGTTGAAAAGGTAAGGCAGCTATTTTGTATGTGTTTTACTTTGCCTCAAGAAGTATGGCTATTAGTTAGCAATTACTAGCTTCAATAACTAAACCTTGCCTTAAAATTAGTAATAAATTCATAAGCTAACCTACCAATAAACATTGGCATAGACTACAAAACTCAAGCATGAAATCCTAAAAGACACATGTGCACAGTGCAAGAAATATGTGCTTACATGCATGAGATAAAGAGGAAAGGGGGAGAGATGGGCAGTGAAATTCAATGTAATTTATAAGCAAATACTGCACTGATCTGAAGATCGATGGGATATTGCAATTGACAGCACTGAGCTTGTTACCAGGCAAACTGAGAGCCCCTCTTTGGGTTATTAACAAACGAATGTAAAAATGGACTCACAATGAAGCTCAAGGATAGTTGTATTAGCGTTCGAGAGAGCAACAACTGTGAACTGAAAAATCCTAGCAGTCAGGAGAAGAAATTCAGAAAAAGCTTTTCCTTTTAATTTAGCTACAGAGGTCAGAGAAACAGAGAGGATTTCCACAATGTTGTGGATACATAATTAGAATTACATAGAGAGACAGTTTATTAAGAAGCAAAAGAATTCCCAAGAATTAGAGTGAGCCTGAGAGCTGAGGAAAGAGCCCTGTAGAAGCACACACAAACACACATACACACACACACACACACACACACACGCAGAGAAACACACACACAGACACAAACACACAGAGACACACACACACACACACGCAGAGGAACACACACACAGACACACACAAACACACACACACCCAGACACACCCACACGCAGAGACACACACAGACACACACACACAGACACACACACAAACACACACACAAAAATACTCACACACACACACACACACACACACACACACACAATAGCCTTTGTAGCCCTGCCTCCCCTTTGTATTCCAAAGGTTTTCTAAAGGAACTATTCTCTTCACCCATGCTCTGTTCCTTCAATGAAGCTCAGGCAAAGAATGGCTTCCAATGTCACTCTGCAAACTGACTTCTCTCACATGTCAATCTTTTTTTTTTATTGAAAATGGGTTTTTCATATAACATATTCTCATTACAGTTTCCTATTCCCCAACTCCTCTTAGATCCTCCCCACTTCTCCACACACCCAAACCCATACTCTTTTTATCTTTGTCTCCTTAGAATACAAACAGGCATGAAGAAGAAAAAGAAGGAGGAGGAGGAGCAGGAGGAGGAGGAGAACCAGAAGGAGGTCGAGGAGGAGTGGGGAAACAATTATTCTGAAAAAGCTCAGCTATCATCAGAGAAGCTTCTGTCTGCAGCAGATGGGTACAAATGCAAAGACCCACAACTGGCAAACACAGAAGACGCTCAATGGTATATGTGGAGGATTTTGTTTTGTTTTGTTTTGTTTTGTCTCACAGTGCTTTATCTGGACATTTTTCTAAACCTTTTGTATCTTGATGTTTCGGTTCAGCTCCTGTTCTGCCGCAGGTTCCCGTCTTGGTGAGTACACAAACAAGCAATTGTGTCGAGGAACAGATGGCTGCGCAAATAACTATCACTACCGTGTAGCCGAGAGTTATCTCCAAAGCACTGTCCTCTAGGAACGAAGAATGCATGTGACTTCTTGGAGGGTTGGGTACAGTCGCGACGGGCATATTCCTGAGCATGCACAGCTGAAGGTCCTCGCTCGAGAAGCTGCTATGGGGGGACACGTTTTTTAGGTTTGTTTAGTCTAAGATCAGGGCGCAGATGTTCTGAAAGGAACAGTCTGGGCAATGCTCAACTGACATCATAAAGATTCAGTTGCAAATAGAAAAGCTGAATTTGTGGTGGTTGTTTTGTTTTGCCTTGCTTGTGTGATTTACTGATTGATTGGTTGGTTGATGATTGATTGATTGATGATTGATTGCTCGATTGCTCAATTGATCGCTTGCTCGCTTACTTGCTTAAGAGAGGCTCTCTCACTTTGCATCCTAGGTTGACCTGGAATTCATATTTCCTGCCTCAGACACCACTCTGCCTGCCTAGAAAAGGCTTTTCCAAGGTGGGTTCATAAGTAACGTTGCCCTATAGGTACCTGCTTTCCTTGGAAGCTACTGGTTTGGCCCCACGTGTACTGGAGTTTACAGTGTAATCCAAAACGAACAATCCCAAACACAGAAAGGAACAGAGTCCAGGTCAACTTCCTAAACCGCTTGTATAAGGGTCTAAAAGAAACAGGGGTTTGAAAAGCATAGTGAAGTTCAAGTTCGAGGGAAAAAGTGAATAAATAAGTAACAAGTAAGTGAGAGCGGGGAGATCCAAGTAGAACAATAGCGAAATGTACCGATTTGGGGTTTCCTATCTGTCTAATATGTTGAACCTTGAACTAATCCTATTTCTGAGAACACTTCTTTTTTGAGAGCAAGGGATTCAAGCATCTCATCGTACAAGATTATGCTTCATATTTTATTATTCTGTTAAACATTGAACAGGACAGCTATTTATAAGATTGAGTTAGTGGAAACTACAAAATTTCTGGAAACTAAATTAGTACTTTCCCTTAATATGGGAATAAATGATATGAGATCGCATATTCCTTGAAAGTTTCAGTGAACCTTTTGATGTTTACTTCAATATGTAGAGAAATGAGCTAAGAAAATATTTTTCTTCATTATCTTCAGTTATTTAAATAATTACTAAGCAAGGGGACCCTTTTTACCTCAGGTAGAATGTTGCATTACATTAATACATAACTGAGGTAGTAAAGAGTAAGTGTCCTGCTCTCTGTGTTGGGTAGATTTCATGAACAAGAGAAAAGGAAACTCTCAACCAGGCAGTAGTGACACAGGCCATTAATCCCAGCACTTGGGAGGCAGAGGAAGGCAGATCTCAGTGAGTTTGAGGCCAGCCTGTTCCACCAAATGAGTTCCTCAAAAGCCAGGACTGTTACACAGAGAAACTCTGTCTTAAAAAAATAAAAAAAAAACTCAAAACAAACAAAAATAATTTTTCTTAATATGCAGAGATATCATAATGATCTCACACCATAAAGTCTAGCCTGTTCTGATCAATATTCAGAGACAAAAAAATTCAAGAAGAGTAATCTTTACTGTTAATAGGGAAACATCATCTCTACTTTTCATCCCATATAAAGCATAATAATTATTAACCTCTCTCAAAAAATCCTTTGATAATAGAGAGGAGACAAATTCTCATAAAATTTGGAAAGGAAACATCATAAATTTCAAGGAATCTTTGTGGCCCCAACTGGCAAGAGGAGATGTAATGGACCAGGGTTTTTTTCCTTAGTAACTGATGCAACCTACTATACATATGCAAGGTTGTTTTCCTCATAGTCTTTGATGTGTCTTAATTTCCAAATTTCCACACAAAGAAAAGGAACAAGGAAATGACAGTATATACTCAACAGCATGTCAGAAACAAAAGCATACCTTAAATCATCCCAAGAGATTGCAAAGTTACTCCCTACAGTCCATGCCCACTTTCCAGTAAATTCCATTTAAGCATGGGGTGTCCCCAAAGCATTTACAACTAGGTAAAGTCCAGCCTTCTAGGCAACAGGTTTTCAAAAACTATTTGACCTGAGGGAGTCTGTATACTTGCCTTTGCTAATGTTTTGTTAGCATCTGTCTCATAAGTCCACATTTTATACTCTAATCCCAACTGTTCAAATGGTATTTTGTTTTTCTGGGAAATAAAGGAAATGAAAGAGAAAACATCTTGATTTTAGCTTGCCCCTCCTTAAGGTGATGGAAGCAACAATCCTAGGACTTTTGTATCTAAGAAGGCAAGATACATTGTTAATAAGAATTCCCTTTTGCAGAGCAATATCAACACGTATTAGTCATTTCTCTTGGAAGAATTTAGAATCACATGCATGGCTGGAGGCAGACACTGAAATATCCGTGTGTGGTATTGTATATGATTAGAAAAATCACTGCTTGTAGAAAGCGCAATATAAACACATCTTGTTTTCAGTATTCAGCCTTGGACTGTCTATCATGTATGCAGTACCCAGCTGCGGGCCATCCAAAAATAAAACACCGGCTACCTTCACCCTGAACATGTTTTCTGTCAACAACAAGCCAGGGCTACACCTCTGGATACTGTACACTAAACATTTCTTATCATTCACTGTACTATGTTGTATCAGGGCTGCATCATGCTTTCATTGTCTGTATTGATTAATGCATTGGAATTCTCTTTTCCCAGTAGCTTCAAAGTCCTAGAATGAGGATACTTCTGAGCCACATTAAGTCCCAAACAGGGATTATAGTTCCTCATTGTCTTGTCCCAAACACACAGTAAGGAAGAAAAAAGGACAAGTATAATTTGAGAATCTTTTTCAAATGTGAAAAAATACCTATTATAAATATTTAAACACCTCACTGAACCTTATTATAACTTCTTTCCTTGTCATTTTTCAGAACAGGTAGACTGATACAAATGTGAGAGAATAAATTTGCAGATGACAGAATAACATAGTGAATAGAAACAGGTACTTACAGCTATTAGCTGAAGACTGTGCTTGCTTGACCATTTGTAACACGAAAAATAAAAGACCCAGAGACTGATATTGAGGTTCAAACCTCAAGCTGAATATAAGAAAAGCAAAGCAGCTGACCACTAGCTCTTACTTCTAACTCAGGCTGAATGGGCTGATCCTGTCTCCACAAGACCTCACCAACCTCTCTTCAGCATGACTAGAGAATGGATACCTCTCTGAGAACTTGCCCCTGTCTTATATACTTCCCTAATGTTGCTAAGGTGTGAGCTATGATTCTCTTTTAGACTGATTCACTCTTGTGTAGATCTGGGTGACCTTGAACTCAAAGAGATCTATCTATCTCTTAATCCTGAGTCCAAGAATTAAATGTGAATAACACCACTCCAAGTTTATGATTGACTGCTGGGATTAAAGGTGTGTGTGTGGCTTCTATAGCTTGTGGCTGATTTTGCTTTCAGAATTCTCAGGCAAGCTTTAATAAATAATAAACAATATATCACCACACTCTTTTGGATACCAAGTATAGAGGTTTTTGAAACAAATCTGTTTTACTGTAAAGTTGATTGCCTTCACATTCCTAACTAGTCATGCAAATGGCACAATATACTCAATAAAATGGGCCAATCATTTCGGATAATTGCTTTCACAAAATTTCCTTAAAAAAACTTGCTGTCTGTTTGTTTGTGTGTTTAACAAATCCCCAGAGACGTCCACGTACATGAAAGCTTTTTAAAAACTGGAAGGTGGGATAGATGTGGCCCTCTTTCCTCTATATTACACCTAGAAATGATAACCTGTAATTCCTTTTATAAGTATTGCCCCATAGACATAAACACTGCCCAAGCCCACAGAAGGCAGGGATAGTGGCCACCTGGCATGCAATCAGGCAATGTTAATCTTGAGTTACATACCATCCCTGCAGAGCTATATATCACTGACCTTCCTAGGAACATAACATGGCTGTTCAAAAAGAGGCCCATATGAAATGCTCCACAGAGTGAGAAGACAGTTTTTAGAGAGAGGGAGGTAATCGGATTCATCACCTCCTGAGTTCGGGATTATGGTGATTCTTTTCCATGCTCTCCCTAAGCCAAACAGAAATAAATTTGAAGTATGACCTGTTTTTGAGAAAGAGTATTACTATGTAGTACAAACTAACCTTGAACTCCTGGTACTTGGGCCTCCAGGTGTTGTCACAGGTGTGTACCATGTGACCTTCTGATACTTTCTCTCCCAGGAATGTGATGACAGGTATATACTACAGCTTGAATGTGAAGAAACACTTAAGCAACTTTTTTTGTATAGGGAGAGGTAATGAATTTAGCATTTCCCTCATAAATTAGATGCTTATCCCCAAATTTGAGAACTATAACCAATATAAAACCCGTTGTCCTTTTCAATTTCATACTGAGCCTTCAAAATCCAATGTGTTTTTATAAATCACATACAAAGTGTTCAGTCACCGTGCATGGCTAGTGATTTGGAATTACATAAAGACTAATAGTTTTGCATAAATTTTGTTTGACCATTAGAGAAAATAAGTTTATTGTATAAACTATATAATGACTTGGGAGCTTTTGGATTTTTTCTTCATTCATCTGCTATAATACTTACTCCTAAACATGTCGGTTGCATTAAGGGTATATTTGACCCTACTTAATAATCAGTGCAGGAATATTGCTTCCAGAAATGCATTTCCTCACCAGCCTGCCTATCACAACATTGATTATCCATCTCTGCAATTGTATACAAGGCCCTTTCTAATTAGATCATTCCACAAATTCAATATCCCATACCTGACCTTTCTTCCTGCAATTTAAACACCTGGTCCTAAATCTTACTCTGCAGTTTTGAGGTTAGGTGGGGTAAACTGCCTGGCATTCCCAAGAGGAATATCTTGATAGAAATGGTTACCTGTTAATTTTCTTCTTCAGAACCCAAAGCATCCAGAGTGAAACCATTTTCACTGAGCTGGGCCTGCAGCAAGGCTGGCATCTGCTCGACTCTGAGGTTTGGAGGAGTCCTAAAGACCATCTTTGGCTCCTAATTAGCTCTTTGTGTTTAAAAAATTGTTCCTAATATTCACCACACTTGACACAATAATCTTGATCCAGATTTTATTTAAAAAGCAAATGCAGATGCATGTGTCCAGCCAGGTGGCACTCAGCATATTCCACACACTGAAGGCCAGAGGCCCATTCACAGGAGAAGCACAGCGAAAGCACTCTACCTTGAGATGCTAACTTTATGAACAGTGAGAGATGAGAAGACCTTATGTGTGTTCAGACCTGGAGACATGAGGGAAAATGCATAGACACAGAAGAGGACACAAGGGATGGAAAGAGGAAGGCAGAGGAGAGGAAGAAAATGAGGATGAAGAGAGAGAGAGAGAGAGAGAGAGAGAGAGAGAGAGAGAGAGAGAGAGAGAGAGAGAGAGAGCATGAAGGAGGGCAGAGAGCAAGGGTGAAAATGACTCCATAATTTTATCTTAAGCTGCTTTTAGTCTGAAAGATATTTTTGTCAAATTTTTTATTGCTTTAATTTTAAAAAGGTTGCTTCACATGTGAATTCCAGTTCCCTCTCCCTCCATTCCTCCCTGTAACACCTCATCATCCCCCCAGCCTCCCACCCTATCCCCATTTCCTTCCACATAGGGGATATCCAGAGTATGTCATTTGCTCAGGTCAGGGTCCAAGCACTCCCCT